AAAGCTCGTGAGCGGCCATCTAAGATGCATCAATTGTTTCCAACCCACCTAGAGCAAAGGAGAATGAAGAACACAAGACACAAGGAAAATATTAGCCCAAGAGACAAAAGGGCCACATAAACCAGAGACTCCATCAGCCTGAGACCAGAAGAACTAGATGGTGCCCGGCTACCACCAATGACCATCCTGACAGGGAACACAACAGACAGTCCCTGATGGAGCAGGAGAAAAGTGGGGCACAGAACTCAAATTCTAGTAAAAAGACCACACTTAATGGTTTGATTCAGACTGTAGAGACCCGGGAAGACGTGGCCGCCAGACTCTCTGTTAGCCCATAACTAAAACCATTCCCGAAGCCAACTCTTCAGACAAAGATTAGACTGGACTATAAGACATAAAATGATACTCGTGAAGAGTGTGCTTCTTAGCTCAAGTAGATACACGAGTCTAAATGGGCAGCTCTTGTCTGGAGGCGAGATGAGAAGAAGGCAGAAAGGAACAGGAGCTGGTTGAATGAACATAGGAAATCCGGGGCGGAAAGGAGGAGTGTGCTGTCACAGTATGGGGAGTGCAACTAGGGTCACATAGCAGTGTGTGTTATAAAGTTTTGTACGAGAAACTAACTTGAATTGTAAACTTTCATTTAAAGCACAATTTTTTAAAAAATTGCCATTTTAACCATTTTTACATGTACAATTCAGTGACATTAATTACAATCACCATGTTGTACAACCATCACTCCTATCCATTTTTCAAAAGTTTTCCGTCACCCCAAGCAGAAACTCAGTACCCTTTAATTGTAAGAGATTTTTAGTGGTCAATTCTTTTCAGTGCTGAATTGTGAGTTGTTTACTGGCTCAAAGGAATCCCTTAGTAACAAACTAATTGGCATGGTTTTTCTCCCATGAGAATATAGACACTACATTGTGTTATGTCCTTCAGTAAGTGGCTTAAGTTCTGGGAGCTGTTATTAAACTACCCTAAGAAAATAATTTTTTTAAAAAAAAGGAAACAGTGAACAAAAGTCCATTGAGTTCTAATATAACTTCCTTTGTTTTTTTGTTTTTTAGGAGGTTGTTCTACGCCTGCCTTTCAACCTTTGCTAACCCTTTTAAGAAATAACATTTCCATAATGGGCTGGCCTTCCAGTTTGTGGGCTCTTATTTTGGGGGTGTCACAGAAAATGCCACATCACACAATCCTTAAAAAAAAAAAACAAAACCTCTTCCCAGGGTTAAACTCCACAACCAATCAAAAGATTCCACCTTAGAACTTGGGTGCAGGAAAATCGCTAGACAGATTCGAAATAGTGTGTCTCTTAGATTTGGGGGTTCGAAGAGAGGTCTCTCCAAGTTGCACAAGACTTTAGACCACAGAAAACCCACCACACCTTTGGTGTTTTTGATTTCTTGAAGACACACGTTGAGATGGTCGGGAACAAACTTCCACATCTACTTAGGGGATCATGAGCAGTGGCAGGGAAACTGATCAAATTGGGAAGCCAGTTACTGAGATGGAAGGGAGCGCTTCCATTCCCTGAGACTGGGTCTGAGCGCACCGTTCCCACACTTTCGTTATTAAACATATGCAGCACCTTTCTAAATAAATGTAGCTCCCCCAGATTCCCACACCCTGAAGAGAAACCCTCACAGCACCCTCCGGAGATTTTTACAATTCATTGAAAATGCACGGTGTTTCTAAAGGCATCACTGAGGGGCTCTTATTTATTTTTAAATTGTCAAATGAATGAAGGAAGTTTTTGCATCCCATGTCGTTCTCTTTTGTCCAAAATTGGCATTAGGCACACAAATCAGTTGAGGACAGTATCATTCCTTAGCTAGGATTTTGAACTTAACAAGGGACTGTTCCCCAAGCTTTGCGAAGAAAACCCCATTTGTAAATTACGCTGAAGGGCTCTTTTCCCCCCTCTCCAGACGAAAATCCACCTACAAGGAAAAAAGCCATCCCCTCCTCCCAAGGTACAAAAACACAGCCGATCCCAAGCAGACCATTTCCGACCTAGCCAATACAATAATGCTTTGTAAACTGAGAGCAGCGCCCAGTAGAGAGGCGAAGTCTAAACAGCTGAGAAGGATTAGGCGGTAGCAACATTTCATTTACATGAAAATCCCCGAAGCATCGTTTTCCACGCTGGCTGCGGGAGCCTAAGGAACTCTTTTGTGCCATAGCCACGCATACATTTGCATCCTTTGTCTTTACTTACCAGTCGAGGCTGTGGGCATGTGTGCTCTATTTCCTCCATGGTTTCTGAGGGAGGCTCATTGGAAAGGGATTTTGGGATACCTGTTTCTGACTCAGCATCAGTGGTGAGTACTGGCATGGCCAGCAAACGCTCCCTCCAGCTCTACACTCTCTGAGTCTCCTCGCAGACAGAGAATGTTTTCTTTGTCACGTATTTTTGTCTCCTCTACCCATCCCCCTTCTTCTTCCCTTCTTTTTGTCTTCACTAGGGGCAGTAAAGGGGTTCCCCCCCCCTTTCTTTCCAGGAGAAGCCAGAGGCAAGGCCTCAGTTTATCACTATAACAACCAGCCGGGTCTGGAGCGGCGGGTGCGGGATACAGTATCCTCATTTGTTTGGAGCGCGCTGGTTGGCTACTGTCATCATAGTACCACTCCGCCGGGGAGCGGCTGCGCCCCATTGGCTGGCCGGCGGTGCCCACGGGGCCTGAACTTGCTGCTTTTGTTTCTTCTGTTTAATTCAGTTGCAAAGGTCTCGGGCCATCCTGGGCAAGGGACCCGGGCTGCACTACCCAGATAAGATGAACCCGCTTCCTGAGGGGCCCTGGACGGCTCGAGAAGAACAGAGCAGACCTCCACTGAGAAAGGACCACGCCCTTGGCACGAGAGGAGAATGTGCTGTAGTCAGAATAGTTGCCAAATAAGAGTCACCCTGAAGACAATGCCACTTTTGAGCCCAAACCCACGGCGCCTCCAGTTGCTGGCTGGCCTCGGAGGGGTTCTCAGGCATTCACGGTGGGCACCTGGGTGTTCACCCCCTAGGCTGCACGCAGCTCTAGCACTAAGATTCCCTGGGGCCTGGTGTAGCCCTGGAGCCTTCCTCTGGGGCTGCCCTAGGAGGAGCTTTGGAGGAGGTAGTTTTTGACAGCCTGCCTCCCCGCTCTGGCTGCCCTCCTCAATCGCTTTCTCCATCAGCCACTTCCCCTTCCCAGCTATTCGAGATTCCTCAAGGAAGTTTTGCTCTTGTCTGCCCGTCAATACACTATTCCATGCACTGGTGTGTTATCCCTCTGCTCCCATTTTACCAATTTTGGGTCCTATAGCCTAAGCACCCTGCTCTCAGCCAAATGCTCCTGGCGATCAGAGAAACGTTCCAGAGGGGGTGCTAAAGACTGATGTGCCTTAAGGTCTAAACCGTCCAGGAATATCTACATCTTAAGAGAGATGTTCTGAAGAAGGAGCCCTGGGTGCGCAGTGATTAAGCGTTCACCTGTTAACCAAAAAGATCATCAGTTCGAATCCACCAGCCGCTCCTTGGAAACCCTATGGGGCAGTTCTACTCTGTCTTATAGGGACGCGATGAGTCCGAATCGACTCGACGGCAACGGGTTTGGTTTTTGTTTTGTTTTTTTTTTGGTTCTAAAGACACGCATTCAAAGAAAAGAGCTTACAGAGGTATTTGCTCTAGTGAAATGGCACTTTTAATAAACATTAATTTAAAAAACCCACGATAATCGCTAGCATTTATTAAGCACAGGGCACAGTGTTAAATACTTTACCTAGATGCTGTTTAATCTTTATAAGACCCTCAAGAGGTAGATCCTATTAAAAAACCTGTTGCCGTCGAGTTGATTCCCATTCATAGCTACCCTATAGGGAAGAGTAGAACTGCCCCATAGGGTTTCCAAGGAGCGGCTGGTGGATTCGAACTGCCAAACTGCAGACCTTTTGGATAGCAGCAGTAGCTCTTAACCACTGTGCCACCAGCGCTCCGTAGATCCTATTATTACAACCATTTTATAGGTGAGGAAATTGCAACTTAGAGTAATTGCTCAGAGTCTCACAGCTTTTAAGTGGTGGAGCTGGGGTTGGAGGAATTGAGGGGGAGGGAGCAGAGATGCAAATGGTGTAGTAGAAAAAGCACCTCGGTAGGAGTCCCCTTCAGACAAGTCCCTGGACTTCTAAATCTTTCATTTGTATCTATAGCAGTGGTTTTTATGCAAGTGTGGCCTGGGACCAGCAGCATCAACATCAGCATTATCTGAGAACTTGTTAGAAACCACTAGTCCAAAGGATGGGATAAAAATCCCAGCCCTGCCTCCCTTATGGAGCTGTGGGAATCAAAGGAGACAGCACGTGAAGCACTTTGCAAATTAGAATGTACTATGACAATGTAAGGAGATGTTATTTTTATAGCTTCTCAAATAAGCAAACAAGGATAGCCCTAAAAGAGGAAGGAAAATATAGATTCTGCAAGCAAAGATTTACACCGCTGGACAGTTATAGCTCCTGCCATTTTAAATCAGAGTGACACCACTTGACAGTATTATTACTTATGCCTGAGGGAATTCCAGTGATTCAGAGAATTCCAATGACACCTGGGTCACCTGAAAAGGGGTCAGTTTCTTCCTACTCCATCTGCCGTCCTAGAAGCTCAAAACACCTGAAGCTGCAGGTTTAGCTCTACCAAACCCTGCAATATACTTAGGAGCCCCCTTCCCACCAAGCATGGTATGCACCGATTTGCACTGAGCAAGGTACACACAGGCTTAATGGGTTTCACCATATCAAAGATGAAACTGTGCACTGCAGATTGGTGGGAAGGCACAAATGGGCCCGTGCGTACCTTGCTTATTGGGTAATCCATCCCTGTGTGGGGGTGAGATTGTTGTATTCTTTGCCTTAGAGCAGTGGTTCTCAAAATGTAGTCCCGGAGGAGCAGCAGCAGCAGCAGTCTTGGGAACTTGTTAGAAATTCTCACTCCCCATTTTAGACTTACTGAATCAGAAGCTCAGGGGGTGGAGCCCAGGAATCTGTGCGTTAATAAATCCTCCAGATGATTCTGACACATGCTAAGAAGAGTCTGAGAACCACTACTTTAGAACCACATGTTTCCATTGAAAGGCATCTGACCCCATATTCCGCCACTGTGGTCAGGGCCACTGAGCTGCCCATCAGGTACCTAATTGGTCCTCTCAGAATGGGAGACTCACCTGGTCACCTGCCCATTTAGCAGAGTCCTAATGTCTAGCTGGCTTCTTGTGAGCCCCTTTTGCCCAAGAGCCTGGACCATGCCCTTGTCCCCCCTCAGCCAGGCTGCTTTCCTTTTCTGTCTCAAAGTGGGCAGGTGCCCCTCTCTCCCGTCCTCATCCTCCCTGCCCCGTTGAACCGAGATGTTGCCTCTGCCTAGGGATAAATATCTTCATTGTGTCATCTGTCAGACACTAAGCTATGAGTGCCACTTTGTACTAAGTTCAAGTCACACTCGACACGTATTCATCCCAAGTCCTTGAACCTCTAGAATGAATTCCATTCCCACTAATCCTACTCCAGCCGAGTCCTGGCTTCTTCCCACCCCTCTCTCCACAGTCCAGTGGTTGAACCTCAGCATATTTTGGCGGTCCTAATGGCCGAGCTAGATTCTTTCAAGTACGAATGTGAGAGAGGTCCTTACCAGATCCACCCACTCTGATGACCAGAGTCTTGGTTGCTACTGCAGCCTGATTGGGGAACTTCTCTTTAATAATATCCAGATGGATTATTTTAACTTGGAGCCTTTTAATGCTATCAAGATGAATAACTGAGAATGACCAGTTAATTCCACACTATGGAATTAAATATTCCACAACCCTCTAGGGTTTACAGGTAGGGGGAGGGTGACAATAAAGTGATAGTATGAGGAAGTTGATTGGGGTGATGAAAATGTTTTGATGAAATCATTATGGGAATGGTTACAGTTGGGAATTTATCCCAAAAGAAATAATCCGAGAAGACACAAAGATTTATGTACAAAGATGCTTAATGCATAATTATTTATAAAAGGCAAAAAAAGAGAGAGATAATTTAGAGCAATAGCAGGAATGGTTAAAATAAAAATAAAATATATCCATATAATATAGCATTGGACATGCATTAAGAGTCACGATTTTGAAGAAATTCTAATGTTATGGGAACATGTAACCATTATACTGCCAGATGAAAAAAGCAGACTATAAATTATGATTTTAAAAAATGATCTCAATTATGTAATATGTTGTTGTTAGGTATTATTGAGTCAATTTCAATTCATAGCAATCACATGTGACACAGTAGAACTGCCCCATAGGGTTTTCTAGGCTGTAATCTTTATAGGAGCAGATTGTCAGGTCTTTCTCCTGTGGAGCCGCTGGGTATCTTGAAACCACCAGTGTTTCAGTTAGCAGCCTAGTGCTTAACCATTATGCTACCAAGGCTCCTATGTAATATGTACACGCATAGGAAAAGCACTGGAGGGAAATATATCAAGATGTTAACAGTGAAAGCTTTCAACTGTGGGGTTATGGGATTTTTTTTGTTGTTGTTGTTTTCTTTTTATGTTTTATCTCTACAACAAGTATGCAAAAATGAGCACATATTACTTCTTTAGTCAGATAAGAATGAACATTACACCTATCCACCCCCACCTGAAAGGTGTCAAAGGCTAGACATGAGGGATGGGGCAGGCAAGTGAGCAAATGGAAAGGTGCAGGGGACTCAGTGAGAGGAAACAAGAAAGCTGATACTGAGGAAAAAGCTGGGAAAGAGACCTATCTCCCCAGGCAGAGACCTATCTCCAGTTAGCAGAGGCAGAGAAAACGTGTTGGAGGAGGCTGTTCAGAAAACTCCCAGGAAACACTAAGGGACAGAGCGCCTCAGTCTTGTAACCTTTGCATCAGTACTGCTCCTAACAATCACCATCTTTATTATTTCTGCCATTTATTGAGCTCCTTTTATTTTCTTAGCACTATACTAGGTGCTTATTGGAGTCCCTGGGTGCTGCAAATGGCTAATGCACTTGGCTGGTAACTGAAATATTAAAGGTTCGAGTCCACCCAGATGGGCCTCAGAAGAAAGGCCTGGCAATCTACTTCCAAAAAATCAACCATTGAGGAATGTTCTCCAGAATAGATCACATCTTAGGCCACAGAGCAATCCTCAACAAGATCCAAAATGTTGAGATAATACAAAATATCTTCTCTGACCACAACACCATCAAAGTAGAAATTAACAACAGGAAAAGCAAGGAAAAAAAATCAATTACATGGAAACTGAATAACACCCTGCTTACAAACCACAGTGTAACAGAAGAAATCAGAGATGGAATTTAAAAATTCCTAGCATCAAACGAGAATGAAAACACATCATCCCAAAACCTTTGGGACACAGCAAAGGTAGTCCTCAGAGGACAATTTATAGCAATACATGCACACATCAAAAAAGAAGAAAGGGAGAAAATCAAAACATTAACTACAGAACTCAAATAAATAGAAAGAGAACGGCAAAAAAAAGCTCACAGCCACTAGAAGAAAGGAAATAATAAAGATAAGAGCAGA